GTATTCTAAGTCATTTTTCTCTGCCCGTACACCTCCCAGACTTCACTCAAGTTCTTCCTTTTCTCTTGTTGTCCTAAGAATGTCAAAATTATTGAGTCTTTTCATTTTTATTATGCTGGTGTCTCTGAGAAACTCGCTGACAGACACCTGTTATGACTGATGTATTAATGTTCACTGTCCCTGGGTTCTTTAAATCTAGCAAAGCTCTGCCGCTTTCAGTCAAATGGTCTGTGCTTGATGAGAAGAGAAAACTGTCTTTGGGACCATCTGGTGGTGGTGTGGAACCAGGCCTCTTGCCAGCTTGGCCCCCAGTCTGCCTTGTCTGCAGGTGGGCGTCTTTGTCAGGCTAGAGGCTCTGAAGCTTTTGAAAAGCTCATTCATTCCACTTCCCTTACTTTTGAGCTGGAGCAGAAGAGCGACTGGCCCCATTTTCTGCCCTTGACTGTATTTTCTGGGCATTCAGGAGCATAGTGACAAGAGGCTGTAGCTCCGAGGTGCCCTGGATTCCCTCACTGGGGGTCTGCACTGGGCTTGGAAAAAAGTGGCCCCAGGGTGGGCAGCGGGGAGGGCTCCAGGTGGTCGTGGCTGGGGTCTGAGCCAGTTTGGGGTCATGCCGAGTGCTTTCTCTGTTGCCCTGGTCCGTACCCCTTGAAAGGCATGCCATGGATAAGAGTTATCTCCGTCTTAGTTTTTCTCTTTTTTCATTTTGCCACAAGACAGGATTGTATCACACATCTCCAAAACGAGTAAAATGGCATTTCAGCTTCTTGTCTTTATAGACTCTCTGAACTTTAGGAAAGATCATTCTGGTCCCTTTTCATTAATAATGAAAACCAGGGGGCAATAAAACGTTCTTAACGTGAGCACGGCAGAAACAAGGAGCAGTGCGGGGGTGAAGGTGCGGCTGGCAGGGAGCCACAGGTGTCTCTTGGTGCTTGAGGAGGTCAGGCTCCGGAGAGGGGGGAGCAGCGGTAGGAGGGGTCCTGGTTCTTGGACCCCTGACCTGCCAGCATCTGCTCAGCCTCGGCTCTGTTACCCGGAACGAGAGGCTGCACTTCCCAAGGCACATGCGCTGTGTGTTTGCAGGAAAGAAGGATGCAGCAAACTTTGGGTTCAGGTCCAGTTTTCAGCCCAGTTGCAACTGTTTTCCTGTAAAGATATTTAGTGGGTATTTGAGAAGTCACTGGTGAGTAGAACTTTCTGGACATGTGCCCATTTTGAATACTTTCTCTGGGGATTTTTGCAGCACAGATGGACGTTCTGGGTGTGGATTGAAGCCCCACGGAACAGCGTGGGGCTTCAATCCACAGCGACTCTTTTGAAAAGTGGCAAGGCTACTCTGTCTTTGCTTTTTCCTCCTAAAGATGAACTTGCACCAGATGTTGGAATCAAGGCAGTCAGAGCAGAGCAGGCTGAGCCGAGAGAGGTGCCTGCTTGGGACCTGGAGCCTCCTGGCTTCGCAGGGTCACAGTGAAAGGTCTACCTCAGTGGTCTCAGAGTTTTCCATTTCATGATCAGCGGTCGCTTCTCTATGTCGCTCCGCATCGGATGGGGGTGTTCACTGCAGGTCAAAGCAGCAGAGCTCCCTTCTGGAGACAGTGTGTAGACGTGAACCCTGAGTGTCACTGTGCAACCCTGGAGAGGAGTGGGGAGTCTTGGCTCGCCGTGACCCAAACCCCAGAACCCGTTAAAGAAAAGATCGATAAGTTTACGTAAACATGAAAACACTCTGTGCCACAAAAAGCAGACCGTAAGCAGAGTCAAAAGAAAAATATACTAGGAAGAATTTTTACAACTCCTTTCACAGACAGAGGGTGAATTTCCCTGTTGTATAAGAAGTTTCCATGAATTGAGGGAGGAAATTTAATAAAGAAATTGAATAGAAAAGTAGGGAACATATAGTATACCAAAAAGGAGATGCAGATGAAAAGATTGCTCAGTCCTCACTTGTAATAAGGTAAATGCAAATTAAAGCTAGAGGGAGGTACTATTGCTTTGCTCTAGTACTGGCAGAAATCTGTGCGTGTGCTTAACCCATTATGTTGGGGTGGCTGTGAGGAAACAGGTGGGAATGAACGGGTTCAGCCCCCGTGGAGGACAGTTTGGCAGGCTATCTCAGGCTGCTCTGGCCCAGCCTCCTAGGAGTTCACGTTTACAGATGGACTTGTACATGTACATGAGATACTATATGTACACGCTCACTGATGGCAGCGTTGCGTGAAATAGGAAAAGACTGGAATTCATCTAAATGTCCATCATTAGGGAGTTGGTTTAATGGAATATTATGCAGCTTTAGCAAAAAAGAAGAATGAGAAATGGGGGGAAAGAGAAGGAAAATAATGCCCATGTGTGTTGCCTCATACTTGCATAAAAATTCTCTGCAGGATAAAGAAGAAACTATTAACACAGTGGTTCTTGGTGGTGGAGGAAACCTCCTTGCAGTAGACTGACGTGTGCTGCGTGATGTTTAGACCATGTGCGTGTATTACCTATTCAAAAACTGTAAGCTCAACAAGGGAGTTGATCACAGTCTGTGCAGGAGACCCGGGCTGGGCCACATTGGGAAACTTGCGTGGAATCCACAGGCGGGGGCAGGGTCGGGTGGCCAGGGAGAGACGCTCTTC